TTTGATCCTAACACATATTGGAGTTGCTTCAAAGCTTCCTCAAAGAACAATACACCTCTTACATATAGGCTTCGAGGTGAACATGGTAACCTTCCCACAACCCGAGAGGTTTACCTTGACAAAACCCTAGACTTTTACATCTTGAGCCTAGTATTTCCTAGGTTACAAACCCTTATATTTATAACCTGTTACCCAACTGGTTTTGAGCCTTCAATCGCAGCAAATCAATTGTAACAAACTGCAGAAACTTTTGCCCCCAAGAAAGGTCTTCAATCTTTAATTTCCTAAATAATCTCCTTATTTAGAAAGTATACATTCTCCTTGATTTCATATTGTATTTTATGGACCTTTGAATATGCGCCACATAGGATACATAATATTCTCCTGAATATTCTGCCAATGTTGAGAAGAAACTGAATCTCATTAATCTAGCTCAGCAGGCGTGATGTCAAGACATATTCTTCGACATGTTGTTCCAGTTGTTGAAAAAGTTCAACATAACATGTTCTGACACTGTAATGGAACTTCTTGTTGCACCTGTTCTTCTTATTAAGTTTATACATCCTATTCTACATTACATTATTGCTGCTATTATTTTTTTTACAATAATTAAGCCAATCCTAAAACAAGAGAACTAACAAAGATCTTCCAACTGGGTTTTCTCGTAAGTAACTTTCTAGTCGAGGCGAGTCTTCTTAGCTATCAGGTGACTAATCTTGCTCATATGTTGAAGGGATTTTTTGCCATGAAATATTCCCTCAAGATTGGATTATTGGACTTCATTGAGTGAATAGCCCTCAGATGAATTCAGTAAGGCCATTTGACGCTTGACGTTGACAATTTTCTAGTTGAGTGCTTCAATCTGGTTTCGATAGCTCAAGATTTCTTGGTCAAAAGAGGAATGTTATTCAAGGAGGGTATGTCTCTTAGCTTCAAAATAATTAGCCTTCTGCCCATAAATTACCACTCAACTCTCATTTCATTCGCTTTGGTTTTAAGTTGGAGATCAGTGTGTCGGCGGAATGTAAGATCTTTTGCGAGTTGGATGAAGAAAGCCTCGAAGTCGATCCAATACTAAGCCAAGAAGTCGGGAATAGGTTATTGGTAAATGGCATCAAGAAGCTGGAAAATATCATCTATCATGAAAGCTTCTTCCTAGACGACAGCTAAAAACTCAATCTAAAAAAAATGAGACCTTAGTTGGTGAAGTGCGTGGATTACTTCGGCGTCTAGTTAAGCGATGGATAAAGAGGTCGAACCAGGGGTTGGTGTATGTCGAAGAAGGTGAATATTTCTGAATGCTGCCATTGGATTTTGTTTCTTCAAAACCTTGATTTTGGTTTGGGCTGCAGAGTCAACAGACTGAGCATTGTTCAAGACTTGAAATTTAGTCTTGGCAAAATCTAGATGATTGGACTTTACAATATTATAACCAAAAGGAGAAGTTATGGTTGGATTTGGTTCAACATTATCTGCACAAGGAAGCCCCTGGGGAGAGTTTCAAAGTTAGCATAAAAACTAGAGGAGGAAAAAGAAAGAAAAAAGTATACCTCTAAGTTTGGTTGCACAACATTGTGCTCCTGGGAGACTGAGCCAATGAAGAAGGTGGGTGTCGCTCTCTTTACCATTTAGGAAGAGGAATCTTGTTTCAATTCGATTGGCGGAGGGCGCTCTTATTCCTGAGAGATCGATGATTAAGTAGGTTATTGAGTCTCTAGGGAATTAAAGGTGTCGATGAGCCTTTGAAAGAAGCTAGGTATACAGAAATATTTATCTTGATATTGAGGTCACCGCTAGTTAAAAAACTCTGAAGTAAAAAAGGAGTGTTCAAAGTTAAATACTGGAAGTTCAAGAGTTTGGTCTGCCCGGTGGATTTAAGGTAAGCTTGATGTTCCTTAGTAGTAAGTTGTCTACCAACCCAGAAAATATCGGCATGGCGGTAGAACAAAGACGAAGGCAACATTTTACTAAGGCCTAATTGTCGAGACACTAAGTTTGGTTGATAGTTCATGAAGCCATATCATGTCGAACCAACATTAATTCGAAAGGAAAGCACGGTGGGTGTTAAAAAGGCCCTCCAAAATGCATTTGTACGGGCAGGATTTTAAGAAGCGGTAGGAAAGGGATCTCGAAATCAGTCTAGACCAAACTGTGGCTCCATAAAAGGGGCCATGGATAAGACAAATGTGGTGGTATTAACAATCATGTTGATATATTTCATAAAAATGAACTGATCAAGTTTGTGGGGGTGAATGGTCAAAGATAACGTTAAGCCTTTGATGGTTCTAGCCTTGTTTATACGTATAACCATTTCAGAGATATGAAGGCCCAATTGAAATTCGAATGTGGCATTCATCCAATGTTACAGAAGCCAAAGAGGCCCTGGGAGTTTTAAGCATGTGTCGTGATCAGGAAGTGCCTTCAGTTGCATGGAAGCATTGCCTAATGTTTGGTAGAGATGCGCCAGCAAAAGCTTTCCTAGTGAGATGTTTTATCTTTCATGAAGTTGAATCGCAATAAGTATGAACTCCTGAACTATTTTCAAAGATCCTGTGCAAAATAAAATGGGAGAGCCAGAGGGTCAGTAAGGCTATGTGCTTAGTGTCAAAGACAGCTTCAGTGTCCCCAATATGGTGATTAGTAATATAACATGCGAAATCCGAATGGATGAAGCAAAATGTATGTTTTGTCGACTCAGTTAGGTTAAAGGTCATACCTAGTGGGCAAAACCGGTGATAGTTGCCACATCAAATATGGTTGGTGTCAACATCCCACAGGGAAGTTAGAAAGTGTTGGTCGAACCTTCCCAAAAGAAGAGTGAAGCGAGAATAAAGTTGGGATCGACCGTATGGGTGCTCCATGTAATTTGGATAGCGTTGAAAATGCCAAGCTTCTCCCATTAAGATCTATGTTGCCTCTGGACTGTATCGAGCCAAGTGAGGTACACCGTATCGTCTGACATATGTATGGAGGTGAACACCGCGGCATCAGAAGCCATAAACCTAACATCAATAGGTTTTGTATAATTGAACACAGGGGGGATAGCAGAAGTAAAATAAGGGAAGTACTTATTGACAGTTTTAGGATGCGTCTCTTGGGTTGGATAATGCCCATGGGATGCAAAGAGTTTCTTCGCAACAACAAAAGGGATGAGCATTCGGTGTTGCCATTCTTCGACCTTGGATTTCACTTTAGATGAGGGCTCTTGGATGAAGTCCAAACTATTTTTCGCAAAAATAAAGAAAGCTATGAGGTTATTATCAGTGTTTAAGGGAGTACCAGATGGAATGGCCATTATAAAAATGGAGTAGGTCTCTTCAAGATTTTCAGAAATTGCAGAGTTTGAAGAGCTGAAGCAGAAGGAAAGAAGAAAGGAACTGAGAGTTTTTGAAGATCTATTTAAAGAGAAATTAAAGTTGTTAAAATAGAAACAAGTGTCACTCAATATGGCGTGAGCATGCCAAGAAGTAGAAAAGTTAGTGAGATTCGTATAAAAAACCCACGCCCTAAAACCTAGGAGTAATCATGAAAAGTGATTTATTGATATGGGAAACTGTTGCGCAGAAAGTAGTCAAGATTACGCATGTCATCATTCTGAGGAGACATGCGGTCGAAAACTTTGAAGAGAAAATGCCAAAGTTCTCCCGTCGACAGAGGCTCACTAAAATGTGGCGTTTTGGTGGGCAATTTGTTGATAAGCAATTTTTTACCAGGGAAGTAAGCCCTCAAGCCGTAAGGTATCTTTGGTTAGAAAGGCATGTGTCTATAAAGAAACAATGGGATATGTCGACCAAGTCAAAGAAGTATTTAACCAGGAAGGTTGGTCGATGAAGACACGAGTGTCTGAGGTAGTCAAAGACATATATGAATGTCGACCAACAATGATAAGTGGCAGCAAGAGCAGTTATCAACTCATAAGCCAGCAAGAACGTAGGGATGTTTCAAAGCAATTTACGGCAGTTCTCCATGAATTCCAACGAGGAATTAGTAACTGCCGACAATTACATTTTTAGGATTTCTATTTAAGCAAACATTTGTATTTTTCTTAAAGGTCACATTTCTTCACATTTAGAATATTACACTCAACGTACCCGCATCTAGAGAGAAACGAGTTCAGACTTAGTAATGTATGAATTCTTCCACATTTCAATTCAAAGTAATTTCCAGTTTTCACTTTAAATTACAAGTCTTGTCATTTATTTTTCTTTACTTTGCAATTGTCGTTTATATTTGGCTTTTTATACCTACGAATCCTGTATCAACCAGTTTCAACCTAAAACACTCAAAACACTAAATTTAGGATTATTGTAACTAATCCTACAAATAACCTTAAATAAAAGATTAAAGATTGTTCGCGTGAAACATGTGCATTCTCTGCATAGTAGCAATTTCAAACATAATTAATTAGATTTTGCATTAGGTATATAAAGCAATGCACATTGCTTAATAAAAATAATAACGTAAATGAAAAATCAATAAAATTGAATGGTGATTTCCTCTACAACAAGAGTGCAAATTTAGTTTTCTAAAAAAATGATAATGACATATATATTAAAAATAAAGGTTAATAGATGTTTATTCTTTGTATATAGGCGAATTTGATTTATCCCTTTTAAAAAAATTTGATTATTCTCTGTAATTTTTTAATACCCTTAAACGTCTATGAATCAGAGAAATTAATAAAAAATATATATTTTATAAGAAATAATTTTTGCATTTAAGAGACAAAACACTTAGTAATTTAAAATTTCAAAAAGACATTTCAGTAAAAATAAATTAAAGGGTGATAAAACCAAATTCACCTATATTATAAAGAGTGATTATGCATTTAACCCTAAAAATAATAGAATAAAAAGATAATTATTTATGTAGCCAAAGCTTGTTTAATTATTAAAATGACGAAACACAATAATAAAATACAATACAATGATAAAGAATAAATATCCTCCATGAATTTCAACCAATAATTAAACAAATATTATTGTGAAAGTATTGGAATCCTAGGCACATTGGAAACCAGGAGGAACTGTTTTTTGACATGCACTAAGAATCCAAGTGAGTGTGATAGGTACATTCAAGTTTATTCCAAGCACATTGGCTTTTATTGCTGTGCAAAGACATGCTGCTTCCTCCAAATCAACCAAACCTTTGAGTAAAGCACAACATTTACTACCCGAAGGAGGATTTCCAACGACCACGTTAACAAACCCTAAAATATCAGCACAAACCCCTAGCTTTAAAGTGTCTATGGGGCAATGAACTTGGGATGAAGGTGGCGGTGTTGGCTTTGGTGATGGAGGATATGTACCATTAGCCTCAATGAATGTTGAGTAAGCAAGGAGAGAAAATACTAAAATGGTAGCTGATGATTTGTTGTTGGAAGCCATGACTATAGTTTGCAAAGATAATGTTGCACTGTGTTTTGATTGAGAAGTTGAATGAGTGGAACTTTTTTAAAGACAAAATAAATTGTAAGGTGCACATTAGAAATGTAATTGAGTGGAAAGGAGTGAATAATGTGATAACGTTTCCAGTTGGTACTTTTGTATGCTTGTGAAATAATAGTTGTAATATATTGGATTTATAAATAGTGGTTGAAGTGGAATGAAAAATAATGGAATTCATTTTATTTTTATTTGATTTAATCTTCATATTTTTATTTAAGTTAATTTGGAATGTTACGTAATACAATGGAGTTTTATAATTAATAATACTCAATTAATAAAATGAATTATATGATTCATACCTTCAATTTTATTTTATTTTGTTCCGTTTTAGTCAAACAATTCAAACAAAGTTAAAAGACGTGGTTTGAATTTTAGATGTCAATTTGTATGACCTCTAAAAATGTGGCACGGTCCATATATTTGATAGACCTAAAAGTTCTCAATGTTAATGAACTCCCACTTACATAAGCTACTTCCACTTAACAAACAAACAAAGACCGTCCAATTATTAAGGAGTGGATTCTGTTTTGGACTTGGATCGGGCACGGCTTAACAATAGTCTAATTGATGATTCAATTTTTTGGGGTTTAATTCGGATATGTGATGTTCACGTGTCTCACATCCAGAAACACATTATTAATGTATTCCGCACTCTTTGAAGCAGTTACACTCTTTGTAACGTGGTCAGTCTACCATCTGAAGATCACGAAGTAGTTGATCTAGGACGAATACTATGTGTTGGTCTTCTCTACTCAAGTAGGATCCTAACAGTCATCCATTGTGGACAAGAAAATTCAGTCAATGTTGGAGACCCTGACCCAACAATGGGGGCACTATAAATACCCTCTTTCACTAGTGGATCAGTTATTCTATTCACTCACAACAATTATGTACTTGTTATATTTTCACTCTGAACCTTACTTTGGTATCAGATTATCTTGTAAGTACACCTCTCTCTTCTCTCTAACAACCGTAGAACTCAAGTGTTGCAGACCACTAAAGATTCTTCTGATCCCGGTAAGATCAGTGGCACCACCCGTGGGAACGATTTTCTCCCCCGTCTTTTTCTAAATCTAAAGACCAAAGCAAGTTTATCCTCAAAACCTACCGATCATCATGGCAAGTCAACACAACAACAATAATGTCAACGAGACTATCTTCACTGCCTTCACTAACGACTGTCACACATGTAATGCAAAAATGTAGCGATGAAGATTTTAGACCAAGTCATTAATTGACTTAACTCAGTCGCCACCGCACTTTATTGTTTCCAAAGAGAAAAGGAAAAAAAGCGAACAAAACCCGAAATGAAATAAAAGATTAGAGATCAAGGTACTGATGTGGGTTTTGCAAAGGGAAGGTATTAGCATCTTAAACATCTACGGTACTCTGCATGACCCACTTTGTTTGTTTTAATCAAAAGGTGTATTATCTAAAAGCTTACTTGCTAAAGAGAATGAATGAATGAATTTGAAAAGAAAAGAAAAATGTTTTTGGAATTTTTATTATTGTGCTCTCTTTTGGTCGTGAGACTTAGTGCCTACGTACTCCTTCGTGCAATGGGAAAGTCAGAGCACCGTAGTTCAACTAAAAAAGAAAAAAAAACTTGGTTTATTAATTTTTTTTAAATGAAGAGACAAGTTGTCATTTTTAGGAGAGAAATCTTAATTAATCGCCCATAAGGTATACGAAGAAGGGACAATGCATCAGCATGAGTGAGGATTTGAGAACACATCTAGTACTCAAGTGGAAAGGTCGGCATCCTTATAACCACGGGGATAGTGTGGCGGTAGAAATATGCAAGACTAAGCCATTGGATTGACTAGACTTTATACAAATCAAAATAAAAATCGCCACGGCGCTTTATTGTTTCCAAAGGAATGGGAAAAGAGCGAATAACCCAAAAAGAGGGGGAAAGATTCAAGGTAAGGGGGTTGGTTATGCAAAGGGAAGATATTAGCACCCTAAACATCTACAGTACTCCGCAGGAACCTCTTTGTAAAATCTGTATATTTTGGCTATAAAAATGTGTTGTATATAAAATGGATGGTGGAGGGGAGAAAAGAAATATTTTTATGATTTTTGCACCCGCCGCGGTTGCGAACCTTTAGTGCATACGTACCACCTTTCGTGCAATAGGGGATCAGGGTACACGTAGTTCCTCTTTTAAAAATTTGAAACACAAGTGTGTTGGTTGATTTTATGATATAAGACATCATCGCAATTGTCCGTGTGAAAAACATACTTACTACCCACAATCATGAGAAAGGAGAATTTGCATCATCTCAAAGTGGAGGATATGGCTTGGATTTTAAAATCAACAATGCCCCACTCAACACCCAAGTGGAAAATATCTCACTTCACTACATATTGTAGAAGTATAGTTGTTTGCATCACTACAAGAATTGACAAGAGTCTAATCTTTTGAGAAAAGTTTAAAGATAAAAGGCAAAGTGGCAAAATGGTTTGAAATGAGATTGATTGACTTTTAGTCTTCTCACAAAAAAAAGGTCAAGGTATTATTAAATTGGTTGAAATTTATTTATGAAAATGTTTCGAAGATGCATGGACCTAAGTCCAAGTTTATTATGAAAATGTTTCAAGTTTCAAAACAAGAAGAGTTTTTTTTTTTTAAGGAGGGAGAAGATTTTTGAAATTAAAGAAGATGGGAGGAGAAGAAGAGGCTATCCTAAAGCATAAGGTAAAAGCTAGGGATAAGAACCATCTAACCAACAAGAAGCCAATACTTGACACTATGATTCAATATAGAATTCCCATTCTTCGGATTGAAACCAAGAAAGCAAAGATACTAGACCTCTTGAGAGAACCAAACTTCAAGTGTTTTAATTCTTCGCAAAAATTGGGCAGAGTAACGGCTGTATACGGGTGAATTCCAGATTACAAACAAAGATCGTAATCTCAATAACCTGCACACAAAACAAACAAACAACCCAATGTCTTGAGGTAAACCTCAAGAACTCCAGACAAAATATCAAATAATGTCACAAAGTCTCCAAGATAGGCCAAGGTCTCTAATCCTAAGTCCAAGAAGTCCATCACTCCATAATGCAAAGGATAGTAACCATGTAGTCCAAGTATCATTAATGATTTTTATGGTTCATGTTGATTATTAGGTGTCTTTAAAAAGAAAGAAAATCTCAAGTGAGCAAAATAAAAATGACATAAAAGTAAATGCTCAAGTGAGCAAAAGATGAAAATAGCATGAAATGTAAAATGCTAAAAGTAAATGGTACATAAAGCATGAAAATAAAAGCGTAAAGTAAAGTTAGTTGTTAGTAATTAGTGGTTAGTTGGATGACCATCTTGAAACTTGCATTTGGAACTCATTAGAGGATTGGTAGAACCAAAGCCTCCACACAACAAGTTGCATTTTCTTTTTGTCAAGTATATCATCCATTTTGGAATTCTCACAAGGCAACATGTAATGATCAACGATGTTTAAGTGATCCGCGTTGACCAAAGGTGTTGTAGATCCATTAGAGGATTGGTAGAACCAAAGCCTCCACACAATGAATCTCAAGGTTATTGGATCAAAGAGATCAAATTAACATACTTGGGCTTGCAATCATAAGTTTGGGCCACGAATGATCATTTATTCGAATCGGGACAAAATTTAGCGCTATGTTAAGCAATCGTAAGTGGACTTATGTAGAAGTCACACCTATTTTGAGGCTGGTCAATAGCAATCTATGTACTTCATGTTTGGATAAATGATATAGAGATCACCATCCCTTAACATGTAGCACAATTAAAAAAGAAAGGGATAAGATGATGAGGGAGGGAAATGATAAGCTAATTTGGATCACCATTTCAAAATTATTTTATCTTTAAATTCAACCACTCCTCTAGATGGATTAAAGCACTAAACATATCATTAATCCAAAGCACCAAAAATGAATTAAATAATTCACTCTTAGGTAGATTTGAATTGATGAACATTTATCCAACTTCATCTACATCACAAAGTCCATTGAGTTTAAAGGTAAATTGGACATTTAAAATTGCAATCCAAACCAACAATCAAAAAAGAGTGAGTAGAAAAACATTTTGGATCAAAGCTGCCCCAAAATATAGCAAAAAAATGCATTATGTCCTGGTGTAAATCGATTGCACTATTGTGTAAATCGATTTACACAGTACAGTTTTCAAAAATCTGCGTGAAATTGCTTTTGTGCTATCGATTGCACTACAGTGCAAATCGATTGCACACGGTAACAGTAGTAAAAACAACATTTTAAAAGGGCAATTTCTTGTTCAAACTTTCCATCAAACACCTTATGATCATGGATCCACTTGAGCACGAAAATTCCATCAAATTATGAGAAAATAACACCATTGGAATCACAAAAGAATGCTCAATGAATCAATCCCAAAGATCACCAAGAGATCACATTGTGAAACATGAATTATCCAACTTACCAAAGGTAGATCTAGAGAATTATCAGAACAACTTCAAGAATTTGCTTCAATTCAACCACAAGAATCAATTGACCAAGCTTGGATGTAGAGAATTGATGGAGAAAAAGTGTTTGGATGAAGGTTTAGCTCAAAGATTAGTAAGCTTCAATGCAAAGCTTACTAACTTTTTGAAAATGGAGCTTTGAGTGAATTTGGTAGATGGAGAGAATTGAGAGATTTTTTAGCAAGGAGGATTTGGCTATCAAAAGCTTGAAATTTGAATGAAATGAGAGCTCTATTTATAGAGTTTTAGGATTGGGATTAGTTGTAATTTGGTAATTGATTCTTGGAGCCAAAATTCGAATTAATGATAACTCTTTCAAAAATTAGAGCCAAAATTTGGATTAATGATAATTCTTTCAAATATTAGAGCCAAAATTTGAATTAATGATAATTCCTTTTTTTAAAAATGAAAGATTGGCACTAAAATTTGAATTAATGATACATCTTTCAAAAGTGAA